ACCTCCAACCCATTGTTCCGATAGCGCACAGTTACGCTTGCCGCATAACTTCAATCTTCGCAGAAGTTTGATTCACGTGTGGAAAGATGGAGATACAGAGCTTGAAGGTGAGTGGATGAAGGTGATGCAGAGATAAGGTTTACAGAATTATGAACATGGAGGGGTGGAATTGGATGAAGTGTTGTTCCGACTGTGTGGTTGGAACTGGAATCGTGAGAAGCTATTGAAAATGTTGGAGTCTTGTGAGCAGTGGGTTTGTTGTGATCGGAAAAGATTGGTAGCAGGTCTGAGACGCTAGTTATTGTAGTTTATGTTTTGTTATGGTTGCTGAACAGGGATGATGGGAGTAGTTCGCTAGCAAGATGGTGATAATTGTGCGATTGGAGATTTGGAGATTGAAGTTATGCGGCAGGCGTAGTTGTGTGGTACTGGAACAATGGGTTGGAGGTAGTATGAGAACTGGATATGAAGATGAAGAGAGGAAGAATCCTTTTCACGATTTTTTCTCTTATGTTTCGTTTCCTCGTAGCTTCTTCTCCCCCCCCCCCCTCCTTTCTATCGATTCCACCTTTTTATATCAAACTCAGCTTATCCAAAAGACCTTAGGTATGGAGTAATGACCAAATAGTCCCTTTCCTAGATATTTCTCTTATTAAACAAAATAAACAAATATTCTTTTATAACAATTTTTTTTATATTTTCTTAATAATAAAGAATAATAAAAAATAATATCTAAAGAAAAAATTTAAAAAAATATCTAACTCGAAAAATAAATGTAAATGTGCGAAGAAATATAAAGATATGTGAATGAAAATTAATCTGATATATGAACGCGAATGATAAAGTTCGGGGTAAAATTTGGGGTGCAACATCGTTAAGCGGGATCTGCGAATTTCAAACTCATTAAATAGGGAAAAATCACGTTTTTAGGTTATAAGTTGGGTATATTTATTCCCAACTCCATCAACCTTCATTCGTTGTATACTAGAGCTTAGAAAACAACATGTATGGCTTATGATTGGATGATCCAGGATCAGGAGCTTGGTGAATCGTGTTTGACACCACGAGAGATTCGATTTTCTCTCCTTTTCTTCTCTTTGAAACCATTATTTGTTGGGTTTTGTATGTAAGTATGCTTATTTATATGTATATTTATTGCTCATGGTGTTGTTTGACGCTTTCTTTACAAATCTTAATTGGTGATTGCTTGCTTTATTTGGGTTTTAGTTGTTGCAGAAATGAACCGTTCGAATCCGAATTTAAGATGAAAATTTATTGGGTTTTGATTCTATAAATAGATTAGGACTTAGTATTCACTTGAGTATCGACTCTTAATGCCTCCATGTTAAATGAATTTCCCTGAGAGATCACCGAGCGAGCAATACGGTTGATATCTTGCTTTGTGTTAGAAATAACTTATGTGTGAGTGATACGTGATGATGTTGATGAATAGTTTAATCTCATTCAAAACCGAACTCAAGAACGCGAGACTTGTTGAACGAAAATTCAGTAACCATTAATCCATGTGGAGACGATATGATAAAACTGAATAAATACTTACTTTTTGCTGCCGCTTTACCGCTTCAACAATTGGCCAAAGGGTAATGAAAAAAAAGTTGGAAATTAACACATTCATCCATAATTTCCATATGTCTACCACCAGTGAAGTACAAGCCAAAGAGATGAATAAGAAGAGTAAAAAAGGTCAAGAGAGTTATATGCATCATGATCCTTCGCAGCGGGATTAGGCTGAGGGCCTGCAAGGGAGACATGCGGCAAAGAGATCATGTACAGAACCAACTCCAAGTCAACCGTATAGTCAGTCTTAAAGACATCTTTACTTGTCTTAGTTTCATACTTTCTTACATAACTACATTAATGATATTGATGATGTGGAGGTTCTAGTCTGTGGTTCTGACACATTTAGATGGTGAATTATATCAAAATCCTCAATTGTATTCTAATGTGGTATATGACAAGGTCTCTGAAGTTAGAAATTTGTTGTGAGTAGCTAGCTTAGGAGTTCAGAGTCGTGACAAATGGAAGAGGATTCTTGATATTGGTTACCCTATTACTTATAGATATAGTGTCATACTCGTCTCGTTATCCAAGAATCTTAACATAACTTTCTTCCCATGAGTAGTATCTCCGTTTATGTCTACGAATAAACATAAATTTATTATAGTTGGTTTTGTTAAAAGTCATTGGATTCACGTGAAATTAAAACCTAATTGTTCGCCTCTCACCACTGACCGCTGAAGACAGAACTCTAGTTAAAGGGCAAGGGCATAGAAAACATCATATGAGGGACGTATAAAACTGAGAAGAAGAAGTTAGAAAGTTAACATAATTTATTTTATATTGATAGTGTAGTGTCTTATCCATTATATATATATATATATATATATATATATATATATATATATATATATATATATATATATATATATATATATATATATATATATATATATATATATATATATATATATATATATATATAATTGAGTTAATTGTAATTGGACAAATAGTTTTGATACAATACATTAATATTGTCATTCTATTTTGTTAAAAATATCAAAAACACAGTTTAAAAAACAGAAATATCTAAAAGAAACCCACTGTCTATTGGATTTTTTAAAAGTTCAGAGAATTCAGTATTTGATACTTAGTATAGGTTAACGGTTTTTTTAAAATCCAATAGTATAGGACATTTTTGTAAAAAAAGAAAACCATTGCCTTGTATTGAATTTTTGGAAAAATCTGATATAAAATGTATCAAAATTTTGAAAATTTTGATATTTCTTCATACATTTTTCAAAAAAAAAACATTTTTATTGTTTTTTTTTTATATATCACGTATTTTCTCATAGAAACTCAAACTCCAATATTTTTCATAAAAAATGCGATAAGAACTCATGTAAAACCCCATAAACTAAAAAAAGTAGGTATCTATGGAAAAATCGAATAATAAATCGCACTTTTTTAAAAATCTGAAAACATTAAGTAAAAGCATAATGGTAAAAACACAGTTTTAGGGGGTGCTAGATATGAGTGAGAAGTGGCAGGACAAAACCTCTTATAAGCGTAGATATGTTATGGGCTCAATTCTTACTTACAATAAAGAGAATATCTTAGTACATTTTTATAAAATTGAAATATTTTGAAAACTCAAAAATTTTCTTTAGATATATATATTCGAATGTATTTTATTTTTTATAAAAAAAAGTATTTTTGAATATAAATTTCTGAATAAATCTTTTTTAACGAAAAAATAGGTTTTCGAATATACGTATCGGAAAATTTTTATGTGTTTTCTTAATAATTAAAAGAGAAATATTGATAATTAGTATTTGATTTAATGTTTGATCTTTTTAAACAGTAACATTTCTTATGAAAGAGATATTTGAATCTCTCCATTTAATTTTTTTTTTTTTTTAATAAATTTTTAATCAATGGGTGGTGAGAGAAATAAGGAGAACTGAATTCAAGAATTTCTAACGTTTTTTTTTCTTTCTTTTTTTCAATAAAATAAAACTAATAGTAAACTCATTGATTTTTCGAGAATTTGTGTTTTTAGATTCAATGTTATATCAGTTGTTTGTGTCGGATATGTATTTTTTTTTTTTTTTTAAAAAATATATAATAGAGTATTTTTCGAATATGTATATCTAAAAATATCTCTTTTCGTAAAAAAATATAAAATTTATTCAAATATGTACATTTAAAAATATTTTTTTTTAATAAAAAATAAAATATTTTCAAATATATATTTCTGAAATTAAATATTTTATAAAAAAAAAATTCGAATATACACATTATAGAAATTTTGTGAAAGATCTCTAAAAAGACACATAGATGCATTAAGAAATTGGGGTGGAAGGACAAAAGCTCTTATAAGTTTAGTAGGCTTGCAAAAACCACATATGTTATGGGCTACATTCTTACTTACTATGTTCAAATCCATTGGCTTTTTTCCAGTATTTTCTCTAGAATTGGTCTGATAACTAGAAATTTCAAATATAGCCAAGCTTGGAAAAATATTACTAGAAATACAAATAACTATTTTAAACCCGTTGAAAATCGAATCCGACCAAAACTGATTAATATTTATTTCATTTATTTTTATTACAAAATTATTATAAAAATAGAATTCATAATATTGTAGTTATTATCATTTTTATAATTTAAATTTTAGAATTGTATACTCACAACAATACAAGACAAAAGAATACAAGCCATACACTATAAATTTTTTAATATTATTTAATTTGTAATTTAAAGTAATAATTAAATTAATATCAAATACTATTGAAAATGTTATATCGTAATAATAATAATTCTTTTTTCAATATAATTTTGTTGAGATATTCTAAAATTCTAATAGTTTTTATAAAATAAAAAAAACAGGTCATTTTTATGATTTTAGTTCAATAAATATTAAATCGACGAACCTAACTCAATTTATCCATAAAACCGTTTTAATTAATTTTGTCGAAAATTAAACCATGTTATTTGTGTCGAACTAAAATTTTGGATCCAATTTTAACCCTAACCAATCTATTGGCTAACCATACTATTTTGGAAACTTCCTAGTAATTTTGGATAGAAGTTTAGGTGTAGGGGCAAGTGAAGTAAAATTTCCAATACATAGTACCACACTCTAAGCTCTAGCATTGACCAAAGTTTTACTATTAGTCTGGTCCATAGCCAAGGAATATTTATTAAATATGGGCTAGCTCTGATACACTGACATGCTAGGCCAAGCAACATACTAATTTACTAATCAATTTTTTCAAAATATTTTTCACACCTCACAATATTAAATGCTGCTAAAAAATAGTTGAACTCTCTTAAATGTAGTAAAAAAAAAACACTAAGCTAGTACTAATTTCATTGATGATTTTCTAATTTGTTAGAGCATTAATTAATTACATCATACAAAACAAAAACCTATGCTACTATTATGTGATGATATATTTTCTATCTACAAAGTGTAGTTAATAAGATGAGACTCTTATGTGTAATCCATTTGGGGCCACAACTCTTGGAAATTTCATTAGTTTATCTCCTCCTACTTCTTTCCATCTGCAAAATATCAAAGTCAATCAAAAAATGTAACATATTTGTCTCAAATTATGTCATTTTAATAACACGGGCGACATTGAAGATTAAATTCTCTCACCTGTATCTAGTTACAAAATAGTGTAAGAAAGTGGAAATTTCAGCAATGCCCAATTCTTTTCCCGGACATTGTCTAGTGCCTCCTCCAAATATCAAGAAGTGACTTTGTGACTCTAGACTATTACCCTGCATTTTCAAGTAACTTGTTAATTAAGATGCCATTTTCATGATTTTGTGCATAGAGAAATAAAAATATAGTAAAAATTTGTCACTAACCAGCCATCTCCAAGGGTTAAATGTTAGTGGATCATGATATAGAAAAGGGTCATAGTTTATCTCTCTAGTATATACATATATCCTCCACCCTTTAGGTACCAAATAGCCTGAAAACATCATTTACAAAACACAAATAACCAATTAGCTATTGTTCGATAAAACAGTGCAACATAGACACAATCATCAGACACAATACAATACTAATATGCATATGTCAACAACAACAATTATGTGTAAGAGTCATGTCAAATTATTGGATATTGATACATCTCAAATACCACTAATACACTGATACATGTCGAATACCAGACACACATATCGGTATCAATGTTTTTTCAACTATGATTATGTGATATTAAAATAATCAAAGTAATTTGGAAAAGATGCATTTTTTCTGCCAAACTTTTCACATTGTGAAAAGGGTCTAGTTGGTTTGTTGAAAGGGTGGTCAATGGCATGTGAACAATTACACTATCCTAGGGATTGAATTTCTTTTTGTGGTTACTGTTTAAAAAGCTTTATGATGCTGAAAAAGTTGATGAAAGAGACCTAAAAGGTCAAACATTTATCTTGAGCCCATAAATACATATAAACTAGAGAACTCAAGAGTAGGCCAATCTCAAAACCCACCATTTAATTCCATGTCATGAGTTGTTTTTCTCAGAACTCCATTAACTATTGTAGCTAATCTCGAGGTCTCAAAAATCACCTGCATAATCACAGTTTAAGTTAATACTATTCCACACAACTTAATGAAAAATCACTTCAAATTGTCTAAAACTCCAACGATGATTGATGTAAACCATCAGAAATACAAGTTCATCATTTTTTTTTCTTAACGTCTAAGACAATGATATGATCAATGCGACTTAGATCAGTGTTTTAGACGTGAGAACGAAAAAAAATACCGTGAAGATCTATTTCTAAACGGTGAAAACAATCGTCGTTGTTTTTTTTACTTATAATTGAAGAAATATTATTACTAACAATTCGTACCGCGCGAGTAAACCTCATTGACTTGAGATCATTACAATCAATAGGATCTTCTGGCTTTTTCCTTTCTCTAATAGCAAAATGTTCTTTCTGCAAGATTTCAATAATCAATATTATCACAATCATAAAATAAAATTAAAAAAACTTAAACAGAAAAAGCAATTATAATGAGAACTTTTGCACATACTCTCATTTCTTCAAGAACTTTAGGATGATCATGAAGGTACTTTACAGCCATCATTGAAGTGGTTGAAATAGTTTCATAGCCAGAATACATTATTGTAATGATTAGATCAATAAGTTCTTCATCATTAAGTTTGCATCTATTGTCATTATTTCCTCTCATCAAACAACTAAGCATGTCTTCATACTTCTCTTTTGATTCTCTCCTTTCCTTTAGTAGCTTACTCAAAATGCTAATTATACTTTTCCTTGCCTACAAAAATCAATCAAATAAAAGATTAAATTACCTATAATTGTGTATATAGAACCGTATTTGAAGACAGTCTATTACACAGAGCTTAAAATTTGTTACAGTTAAACCATGGTAAAAAATAATACACAGGTTCTATTTGTTAAACAACGAAAGCCTCCAAAAAATTAAGACGGGTGTGACTGTATTTACCTGTAATCCGTTGCGATAGTTTGTGCCTGGAAGGTTAAGAGGGAGGGAGAGAGTTCCTAAAACAAGCTTAAAGAACTCTGTCATGAAAGGTTGAGAAATTGAGCTTGTTTCCATACCAGCAATCTGCTTCAAGGATGAGAGAAATGCCATCTGTTGAAAAAAATTTGAGAATTCGCAATTATAGTTAGAAAGTTTTCCGATAAACTTTCATTTTCGATCGTGAATTTTTATGTGAGAAATCAATCATCATTATGATACATGAAATACAAAGTACTACATGTTTGAAATGTGATTTGCTTGAAGCTACAAAACGTAGCTTCTGCGATTCTGTCAAATTCACTGTCAATTCAAACATGCACACGGACGGAGTTACGGACCTGTTTAGTTTTGTCTTGAATGTTGATAACTTTGTTTTCCCAATGACTCAAGTGAGTTCTCATGAATTGATCAATTTTAGGTAAAAGCTGATTTCTAATCAAGGTGGGGCTAATGATTGAAAGCAATGTCCCTCTCATGTACTTGTGAGTGGAGCCATGAACAGCTGCAATGTTACATTTTCCTAAGATATCTAACATGGATTGAGGGTATCCTGGAACAAACCCTTTTGCTTCATTCATCAATATGTATCTATTTAGCTCTGGATCCATTGATACAATTGTAGGACACCCTAATATATGTGATTTGAAAATATTTCCATACCTGTCATTCACATCAATATAAAGTTATTATAATACAAATATCATTACATCATTACACAGCTATCAACTGAACTGACGTAACAAAACTATCGTCTATTTTTTTTAAGATTACTAGTTGAGTTGATTTAACGAATCTATCTTTTACATTTTCTTTTAATGTATTAAAAGTCAAATGTAACACATAGTGGAATTTTCTTTTAATAGGAACCGGAGGGTAAAGTAACAGCAGTGAATTTGACAGAATCACGAGTGTAAGAGTAATTTAGTAAAAACTAAATTTATAAAAAAAAGTTTTCACATAGAAAAACATGAACATAGGAAGATTAAACTTTTATTGAATACATGCACCAAAAAGACCAAACTATGATGATGAAAAAGAACATGTGAAGTTGTAATGTTTTTTTTTACCTTGACCTTTGATTTTTCATGAAGTTAGGACCTTGTTTAAGAAACTCAGTAGTTTCTCCAAAAACAGGCCACCCCATTGTTCCTTGAGGCAAACCTTTTCTTCTGTATCTAACTTGATTCCATTTGAGAAGAGCAGAGAAAAAGCAGAACACAAAGAGAAAACCAAGAATTGGAATGAAGATAGGCATTGGTAAGGTTGAAAACATAGTAGTAATTGAGTTGGAAAGAATTCAACACAAGTGCTTATATATATAAGCACTTTGAGTTTGAGGCAGTAGTAGCATTTGAATATGAGAGTGGACAAAAAGAGCCACCCTATGAGAGAAGTAGTATCCCCCTATGGTTTGTGTTGGAGAATGAGATAATAAATAAATGAATTGATGAGATTGTTGGAAGAAAAGGATGGAAAAAAAGGAGAATAAGAAATGATATAAATAAAAAAGTGATTATGGAAATGGAGAAAGAAAAGTATTGGTTGGTTATATAGAGAGGGAAAGGGAGAGAAATGGGGTGAAGGGTTGGTTGTATGGATGTTGATTGATGATGTAGATATGGTAAGCTATTTACTGCTTATGTTGTTTTTCTACAAGGTGTTGGGTTTATCTATCATAACTATTGCACTATTTTATTCCATCTTTTTTGTACTCTCAATAATAATATCCTCACGTTTTATAATAAAATATTTTTACTACAAAACTCGCACAAAATTTTATAAAAATTTAGTTATTTAAAAGTTTCACTCTTTGTAACTCATATGTTAAAAATAATGTTTTTAAATAAGTCACTTTTTCAAATTATAATGCAATATTAACTTTTTTTATTCTTCCATTTTAATTACTACTATTATTTTCATATGTTGGAAAATTTTGGGAAATAAAGTTTGAAAATATTAATAGACTAAACGTTTATGATTACAAGAGACTTTGATATCATATATCTCTCTAAATTTTAAAATAATCAAATATAAATCATATTTTTTATAAATTTAATATTTCTTTTATTCGTAATTGAGGTGAAACTTTAATACAAAATTTTCATTTGAAATCTAATATCATAATTTCTAATTCAATTTTTTTAGATGAGAAAATTTATACTCCATCAATCAAAAGGTGTTCAATATACAATATGATAATTTTACTTGTAACTGAGTTAGTTAAAGTTAAAGTGTGGTCGCCTTAACTAAATCATGTATAACTTCATTTGTTTATCTTTAAATAAAACTAACACTAGAGTTCTTATAATAAGTAGAATACACTTATCTATGATGACCTATAATATTTTCAAATTATGTGAATTCTTTTTAATATTTTCAAATTATGTGAATTCTTTCCGGAAGAAAAGAAATTATCCACAACAATATTAGCATATGCATTACATTTGTTAACCCAACTTAACGTCAAAAGTAGACTAACAGGTTCGCCCCCACGAACATCACATGAAGGGAAGATCTACTCGGTTTTAGCTAGAAGAAAGAGTTGTACTCATCTCTGATACAAGCTTTAATTCCTATTCTATTATTGGAATTGGAAAATAAATGCATATGCATTACATTTGAATCTTTTAAGATTTTCGATTGATCCTATAAACTAAGACGAGTCTTTTCAGCATGTTTGTCATCATTTACACGTTTTTTAGGAAACTTTCTAAAAAGAGTTCTTATTTGTTATGCTACCGAAAAAAGATGCATCTTGTTGGTATAAATAATATCAATCAATCCTTTTAAACATTCGTTCAACCATGCAGTCTCATACCTGCACAGTCTCGGGATCCATCTCATTCTTGTGTGAAATCGATTTTTTCCTAAAAGCTACCAGGAGTTGCTCATTTCATGCCTTTTCCACCGACGCCCACTCTCTGTCCTCGCCGACCTCGGGTGTTACATCATTCGTCACTTTGTTATGCATGGTACAAGCTCTTATCTCAAAAGAGTGAGTTGGAACAACTTTCATCTACTTTGCCTCTCCTTAAGATTGAAGCAAGTCAAGTGCTCTGCTAAGACTAAGTCGATGCATACTCTAAGCCTCTCACACGATCCACCTTGCCTCTGGGAAAGAAGGTATGACCGAACTAAGTAGATGCATACTCCAAGCCTCTCGCACGGTCCACCTCGCCTCCGGGCAAGAAGGTTTGACCGGACTAAGTCGATGCATATTCTGAGCCTTTCGCACGGTCCACCTCGCCTCCAGGAAAGAAGGTTTGACTGGACTAAGTCGATGCATACTCTAAATCTCTTGCACGGTCTACCTCGCCTCTGGGCAAGAAGGTTTGACCAGACTAAGTTGATGCATACTCTAAGCCTCTCGCACAGTCCACCTCGCCTCCGGGAAAGAAGGTTTGGCCAGATTAAAGTCGAAGCGTACTGAAAGCCTCGCGTACGGTCAAGCTCGCCAAGGCTCTCAAACCATTCTCGGTGTATCCTTGCAAGGGGCTCTGAACCCTTAAGTCGGTTAAGTCTATGGTCCTCTGTCCGCATTCGGCCAACCTCGTCTCTAGCAAAAGAGGCTCTGTCCGACTGCATGCATCAAGACAACCTGGCTACAGGTGCTTGGGGCTTGTTAAGTGACAATTAACTTGATAATATTTAATGAGTGAATGTCTACTCGGGGCTCTCAGGATAAAAAATGAGACGGACTCCCGGGAACGTTCAATTTAGGACATGCATCTTAAAATGTGTGATCTATAAACTGAAATCTTAATTAAAGATAACAGAAAGGAAAAAAGCCAATAAGCGGTTTGGTTGAAAATAAGTCCCAGCATTCCGTGATCGAACACTTAAAGTCATATGCCCTTTGTGCCCGAGGGGCTTGGGTATATGGGCAGAATTATTTTCAAAATTGTTATGGTTAAAAGAAAAACTAGCAGATTGATGAAATCAAACAACATCGTAAATCCACAAAAGGAAAAGAGTTAAGTACATTACCAGAATGGAATCAAGGCCTAGCCGATCAGGTTCCCAGGACAGAGCAGTCATTTCTTAAAACGATTAAAACGTCTCAGATAAAAAGAGCTCACAGCCTCTGACTTAAATAGTCAAGTAGCACGATACCTCAGTTATATTAAAGATGCATCGGGGTAAATCAAGCTAAATTAGGGGCTTTATTGGTTCCCATCAAATAATCCTAAAACATACCTTAGTCACGATGTAGATTCAAACTTATCTTCTCGTCGAAGAGTAAATCCAACCAAATAGATAGAGCTCATCGAGGAAATCCCAAGGATACGACAAGTTCACTTAGGGCTCATTAGCCTGAAAAATGAAAAAGGGAATGATCATCAAACCTCAAAACATGCTTGGAGATCTTATAAGAGACACCATGGCTGATTTCATAAAAACAATTGAAAGTGATATAGATCCGGGTACATTAATCTAAGACGTTTACCTCTGAAAACCTCGTATCCGAGAAACCTCTCACTTCTGACACAATCGGACTAAAAAAGACGCTTTAGCAGTCTCTATACCCAGGAAATATTTCACATATATCAAAGATAAACTCAAACCTACAACCCACACGGGGCTATAAATATTCAGAAAAATCCCGAACAAACATATAAAAATCTTGACAAGCTCACTTGGGGCTCGTTAGCCCAGAGTAGTAGATAAAAGGACGAACACCCGACCTCAAACATGTTTGAGGCTCTTGATCCAAGAAAAAAGCTACTACTAATTTTCTTAACTCGACCAATGATAGCGCAAGGCTAGGTCCCGTGTATGGGGCTTCACATGACTAATCAGAAGAAACAAAAGATGAACAAAAAGAACTGATTACTCGCTCTAGGCATATACTTGGGGCTTAGAGTAGACCGAATCTCCCGTTATGTCACAACCGAGACAAAATGATTCACATCAGTGAATTTTATACCCAGAAAGCTTTGCATATATCCCGATATAGGCACATAATGATAAAGATAAATTCATTATCCGCCTGGGGCTTTACATAGCTAAAGGTAATACATGATATTGACCCTACCATAACTTCTATAAGAAATTGGAATATAATATCCATAATCGTAAAGAGATTCTTGTAGGATCTGGTTGAGTATGAGTGCAAGGAATTATGGGGCTCTTCATGACCGAACACTTCATCCTAGCAGAAGAACTCGTGCTCGGGGGGCTTGTTCTACATCCTATAATTCTCCGAGTCGGGTATTGTAGCCCGATATGTCGATCAATTCTAAGGTAATAAAGGCTAACTAATTATGGCCTAGTTGTGTCTGGCCTGACTGTGCCTGACCGGGTTGTGCCAGGCCGAGTTGGTTACAGTTACGAAACTCAATAGATAGCAGTTACAAACGTTACAAGCCATTATGAGCGGTTACGAACATTACAGTACTCGTGGACAGTTACAAATGTTATAAGCGCATTAATGATTGTCGTACCCCAAAATTTTCCCTCCCGTTTTTCATATTCTAGGGTTTCTCGAATACTCAATTTGGCTCAGAAGTTGGTCAGACAGGTTCTCCCTAGGCAGCAAATCAACAGTTAGGGTTTGGTATTTCTCAAAGAAAATTGAGTTTTCAAGGTTTCAAATGGTCTTCATAGGTCTTCCTGTCTCCTCAAGGATGTTTATGCCAGTTTTCAAACTTTGCATTGCAATTTTTCTCAATCGATGGCTCAGATAACTGAAAGTAACTAAATTGACCCAAAAATCGACCTTTTGCAAGAACAAGTTCAAACGATTGTAACTTCTTCATTATTCGATATTTTTTGAGAAGTTTTTCTTGCGTATGATTCTCCTTGATGTTATCTCCAATTTCACGATATGATCCATCACGAGATAGTGGTCTACGTGGATGACATGATAGCCAGATCTCAAACTGAAAAGGAACACCTTGACCATTTGCAGAAACTGTTTGAAAGACTGAAGAAATACAAACTAAGGTTGAACTCGAGTAAATGCACATTTGGAGTGAGGTCCGGTAAACTCCCAGGCTTTATTGTCAGTGGTAAAGGTATCTAAGTGGACCCTATAAAGGTAAAAGCAATACAAGAAATGCCTGCTCCTCGCACCGAGAAGGAAGTCAGAGGATTCTTAGGACGACTAAACTACATCGCCAGATTCATTTCTCACCTAACCGCTACTTGTGAACCAATCTTCAAATTACTGAAGAAAGATCAAGTGTTGGATTGGAACGACGACTGCCAGGCTGGCTTTGACAGGATCAAAGAGTACCTTCAAGAGCCTCCCGT